CAGTGGCAGCAGATCATGAACAATTAGTGGAGTAACAGCTCTACCGCCTGTGCCATGGCTGCCAACAGATGTCTATTTGTCTTTTACTTCCAAGGAGCTAGACTTTAATGTCTTAAAGTGGTCTTGAGCAATAATTTGATTGTTTTTTGGTTTTTTTTCGGACATTGGCTGCTTTTTCACTCATTTTTAGCCAGTTTCTTACACATTTACCTATCAGTGAAAGATCCTGGTTCAGTCATAGAGGACAACTAAGAGTAGTTCTCAGACCGGCTGTTCCACATACTGTGGATGGTACCTTTATCTGATAATAGACAGTCTCTGCAGGTAGAGGGGCTATCCGTAGATGCCAGTCAAGAACCCCGTTCAGTCCATCTAACCAAAAAGTTGGTATATCTCAACACTGTGTGTCCTTAAAAGACCCGAGGAAACTGGAGGACAAGAGACACTTTTTGACATTCCTAAAAAAACGAAATTATTTGCTATTAAGATAAACATGATCCAAATAGGAAAAAATCCAAAGACCTGAGTATCTAGCCCTTCAGTTGACCACATAATTGTGCATTTATTTGTATGGACACGTGTTTGCTTTCAAAGAGGATTAGCTGTACAATAGCTCCTTGTCCCAGAGGGGATACTTTTTTTTCCCAGTTCAAATATGTTGACACTGTAGTGTCTGTTATCTCTCTGCTGTAGCAACAGAGCTCCTGTCCTTGTTTGCTTAATTAATACTTTGTTGTGGGATGTTACAGCTAATTGTTGTTACAATTAGAGCCTTGGCTGGAAATACTGTAGCGTCAGAGGGCCTCAGCTAAAGGCAATTAACACCAGAGCGCTTCCAAGATTTATCAGACAAGAATAGTCGTCAGGGAAGTGGTTCTAAAACTTCCAATTAAAATCAGAACGTGCTGCTTTTGAGGCAAAGGGGTGGATACAAAGCTAGAAGATAGGTCCTTGTACTTATTTATGTAATAAAAAACCAAGCAAAACTACATTTAAAGGGTATATCTGTGAGAATATGCTGGGGTATTTTCAAATGCTAAGGAATCTGGGGGATTTTGGGGGAATGTCACAGTCAAAATTCAAATTAGGATTAAAAAGCTCTTCAAGATTGATTGCTTGAGGCTTGAGATTTAGAAGCAGGGATTTAAAGTTAGCACGCAGGTTCTTCCCCTGGGAAAAATACTCAAAATATAATCGACAGGAAGACACTTGTTCGAGTCCTTAACCTGAATTTTAATGATTATAACAATTTTAGATAGTCCCACAGTTTTGGATTGGGAATGCATGAATCTCCAGCAACACTTGTAGAACACCTTCACTGTGATACTAACAGATCCCTGCTCTGCAGAAGAATGTCTGGACCTATCATGCTGCATTTGATGTCATACTGTTACAATGGTGGCTGTTCATTTTAAATAAAGTCAACGTTTCAAATAATGACTTGAGTGTGAGTTTGAGAGCCAAACACTCAGAGATCAGATTCCTCTCTTCAGTCACAAGAGATAAGATGTTGTTAAAGACTGTGAGCACAGAAGCACCACCCACCTGTGGTTCAAATCTTTTGTTTACAAAGAGTAGCCAATCAGAAAAAGGTTAGTGTACAAGAGGGGGGAGATACCTTATTTTAGACTCTGGAGAAACACCAGAGTATGATAAATAACTCTGAGTCATGAAAAGCTACTGCAAGAGAGTCTAAGAATAAAAGTATTGGGAGTGAGCATAATTAGTTGCATTTGATTCATTGACTTTCATGCACAAAAGACCTTGGACTTGATTATTGTCAAATTAAACAAATTTGCTCTGAGGCAAAAAAAAAATCCTGTTACAAACTGAGCTGAACTCCTGCTCTGCTGGATGGGGATCTGGGGCTTTTGAGGCTCAGTTATCGTCTTGGGCTGCTTGCCATGGTGAGACTGCAACAAGTAATCCAGGTGAGTTTTTATTCCCACGGAAATACTGCAGTTTTATCCAGTTACCAACATCTTAAATTCACACAGAAGGTTCCTTGGCCATCTACTATAGTCCTCCCGTGTTTGGGCAAAATAGAGGAGGGTCTCTCTCTTACATGAGGCTCATAAAGGACCCTTTGGCATCACATTTAAAGGCACTGGGTTCTCTTTTTTTAACATGCAGGATTAACCTAAAACACCCCAAATCTTTTCCTATGTTTAAACAAATTTTCATAAACAAAAATGCCCTGTGAGTAAAAGCGAATTCAAGTGTGTTATGTAATAACAAAACTGATACAAGATGTGTTATCCCTGACCCAATGAGGCACGTGTCAAAAATGTAAAACATTTAGTTTTTTAAATCCAATTGTTTTTATATATATATATAGTGCTGAATCACAATAGTCACCTCAACACCCTTTACATTGTAAGGTAAAGACCCTACAATATTACAGAGGAAAACCTCAATGATCAGATGTCCCGCTATGAGTAAGAACTTTGCGACAGTGGGAAGAAAAAACTCACTTTTTATAGGAAGAAACCTCCAACAAAACCATGCTCAGGGAGGAGCCGCGTCTGTCGACATCTGGGCTTGTTTCACATCGTAGGATGAAGATGTTGAACATCAACATAAATTCGATGACTCAAAGTTTTTGACATGATCAGTGTTATTCTTTTTACCTGAAAGTGCTCTAGGCATATAAATAATTAAAATAATTAAGATTAGTGTAGACACAGAGCTCACAATGTGGGATCCAGATTATCGTATTTTAGTACTGCAAATACCCAAATGCGCTGTTAATTAAAGCCCCGAAAACCTAATGAGACAACACGAACGTGGGGTCCAGAGCAATCGGCTGCTTTTATCCAGTAGGTAATCCAAAGGGTTGGTGTGGATCAAAGAAGAATCAGTGGCAGCAAAGCAGGCATGTACCAAGCTGATAAATCGGAGTGAATCAGTGTGATACATCTGCTGAAATACACAATCCTGCACGCCGACAGTGAACAAAAACCAGGCTGTATGTGGATGACCCATATATGTAAAAAAAACTTGTTGAAGCAGGCGATGCGACATCAAAAGTTGTTTTTCCTCAAAAAGCGCAGTGCAGTCCAATTTAATTGCACCCTGCATAGCTGTGAATACAAGTTTCCACTGCAGCCTCCCAGGAAGGGGTAACCATTCACACTTATGAACTCAAGCGCTGGAAATTCAACAATTACTGTGAATCTAACTAACGGGAAGCTTCTGAGTGCGCTGTACTGCTACTCAAAAGATACCTAGTGTCACGAAATGAGGAAGCTGAGAAAGGTTACTTAGGACAAAGAAATACATGGCCGCGGAGACCTCTATAGGCTGGGCAATGGCACCGTGACTGCGATTAGGTATTGTGACGAAATCCTTGTCCAAGGATCAGAAAGATCAGAGTTGATTTCAAGCCTTAAATTTGGATTTTGCAGACTTTCACTGGAATTCTTAATAGGAGCTCGAAAGAGATGTCAGAACAAGTGAATGAGGCCATGATTACGTTAAGTATGGCTGTGTGAGATATTTGTTGACAGTCCAAGTCCAACACAGGAGGGTGGAGTAACTTAGAGCAAGCATTTAAAGGTGATTGTTCACTTCAATCAGGGAAGGAATCACGTGACTCAAAACACTACACATCACCAGGGAATACAAACCCACCAGGAGATTCAAACACACTATAGAAATCAGAGATGAGAGCTGCAGAGCTGAGGTTTACACAGGCATGACCAAAGAGAGATGACGCAACCATGAACAGAGCGAGTCAGAGACAATGTATACACTCACAAGATAACAAGAGCTTTTTGACATTTAAAAAGTACTGGGATTCCCTTTTACATTTATGTCATTTAGTCCAAGCAGAAATAGGTTTTGGTCGTGCCGACTCCTCCCCAAATATTTTCATCTTTCTGGAAACACAGAGAAACAGAGTTCTTTTAGCCTCTGTGCATGTACATCTGGTATATTTAAAAATATAAAGAAGTTACAGTTGATTGCATTAACACTTTCTAGTGTGTTATTCTGGGCTGTGTATTTATAATCTGAGTAAGAGTTAACCCTCTGCTGAGAATTAAGCTTCCTTACTTTGTTCCAAGCTTTTAACTAATAACGTGAACTCTGATGAACAGGATATAAGCAGATTATAAAACTCTGAATTCCAAAATTCCAAAACAAAGGTATTTTTATTATATATGCTCCTATATTACATACATATAAAATATACAACATATCTTTGCATTAGAACATACAGAAGTTATTTTGCATTTGGAGGCTTTGCTGCTGGAAGCACATACTGGTGGCAGCGGTGGTTCTCCTGGTCAGTCTCACACAGACAAAAAAATCCCCAACTAATTGTAGTTTATTCTGCTTTGTAGCGGCACCCTTTATTGTACCTTTGCGGACAAAAACTACAAATCCCATACTGCCGCGCTACACTGCAGCCCCGCCCCCTGCGTTTGAATGGCAAGTTGTTTGTTTCACTCCAACCAGCTGCTAACTATTCCAGTCGGAGAGCAAACACGGGGAGCAGCGGTCCTCTGCTCTCCATTTAAAAAGGCCGACAAGCTGAGGGAAGCTGGCTAGAAAGCCACTTCCGTTTGTACATTTTTCTTCAAAGTAAGGGCATAGAAAAGAAAACCACATTAAAACTGCCTTTATCCATTCAAATCAATGAGTCTTCAAGGTGGTAGAGTCGATATATTTGGGAATACTGAGGTAATAAACCTTAGAGCCAATTCCCAAGATTATTAAAATAATAATCCTCAAATCTAAGAGACACAAACTAGGTAGTAGTTATTTTTTAATGGGAAACTTATGCAAATGTTTATTCTACTACTACTAATAACAATAATAATAATAGTTTAAGACAGCAGATATAAACAGGAGATAATATAAGACTTGGAACGGATATTTTTTACGGCAGATAAAACATTTGGGAGCCTCCTCACCCTGGCAAAAAAACAAACAAACAAAAAAACAGCTGCCGGGCGCTTTTATTTTGAAAAGAACCAGACAGGAAGTGCCAACGTTTCCACTGGAGGTTTGACAGCAGGTCCGTTTTTACCGCTTTGCTTTCTTTATTCCACCCTGTCGCCCTGCTTCTTTCTCTGTTAAATACGTCTCGGCCTGCCCTCTGAGTGTATTTATTTATTCATGCATCTAATTTGAAAACATTTAGCTTTTTTTTTCTTTTTTACATTTTAGTCCTTCCTCAAATGAGAAGACGTAAAAGATGGAGCTTCATATTTTAGAGCACAGCTTGAAAGTGGCGAGTATAGAGAAAGAGGGGATCCAGATTTGCACTCACGGATTAATAAAACTCGCCTTCCTGGCCTCCAAAACAAGGTAGGTAACTTCCCATTCGTGACGTCCACGTAAAAACACAACCTTTGAATGTTTTTCCATTCTCCTAAGTGCTGTTTACTGTTAACATTAGAGCAAAGTAATGCCCGGGGCTGCATGGACTTGTATGCTTGTGTTACAGAAGGTAGCGGTATTCGCTGGTGCTCCAGCCAGGTCCTTCACAAATGCGGCTGTATGTTTAATAGCCTCTGCTTCCAGTTTCCAGGCCTATCCTTGTTCTGTAGTGTCATTTTGTAGCTCCGTGCCATCTGTAGCTGGGTTGTAGCCAGCAGAAGTGTGTGTTTGTGTGTGGAGGGTGTTTTACCTCTGTCAGGACTATTATAACAACATCAGGAAAAACTTAAACAAGCAGCAGAGGACATTTACACTCTATATATGCTGGATACTGTCCAGCAGAGTGGATGTTAACAGCCAGTCAGCCTGGTGAAACTTTCATTTAAATAGCCCTGGCAGTGACAGGATAGCAGGCCTGTACACCATAGCTCTGTTGTGCAGTTTTTAACACTCTGTTAAAATAAGCCTAAGCAAATTAGTTCACACTCTTGGCTGTGTGTGTGTAGTGTGTGTTTTCTTCCTGGCTATTTTACAAGAGGGAAAGACAGACCTAGTGCAGTGAGGTGGCAATCACGTCTCCCTATTTACTGAGGAGAAGTTACTGATTAAAAACAACAACAACAAAAACAATAACAGTCAGATTACTGATTATTACCTGATGTGATTAAGATTAGCTCAAGGAGCACGGCAGCAGCTGTTGTTCTCATTATTAGCAGATTAGGCTTTTGTTTAATCTAATAGTTGATTGGTCTGTACGAACAGGGAGGAATGCACCAACCATCAGCCAAAATTCAGCAAATACTGCATTCACATGTAAAACAGAGGGGGAATTGAATCCTCGTGTTTTTGGAAGCTGAGACTGTAAAATGTTTGCTACTTTTGCTGGAACAGTTGCGTCAAAGAGTGTCTTAATCTAATCAACCACTCAGTTCAGTCAAATAGTTACAACTCTTTGACTCAATAACATAATGTCATCACCAGCTGCCCCTCTCTGTTGGACTTGTCTCATTTTTGATTACATCTACTTACAGTACTGTGCAAAAGTCTCGAGCCACCCCTTTCTTTATGTTTTGCTTCCATAAAGCCAGACTTCCTTATATTTTTTAAGTGGTCTAGTGCAGTAGTTCTGCAGGCTTTCTGAAAGGTCTTTCAAAGTTTTTCTTTGGACATCGGCTTTGTTCATCTATAGCAGAGGAACTGATGATGATGATCTGAAGGTCATGTCCTTAAGAAATATGAAAAACATGTTGCAAAGACCTGACATAGGAGGTCTCATGGAGTGACCATTTTCAAACCAAATTTGAAAATGCTGGTTTAAATCTTCATCAATATGTATGCAGGTCAGCAGAGAGAGACAACAGTGAGTGCCAAAGGCCATTTTTAAGACATGGTGGAGTCATGGTTTTGGGCTGTATTTCAGCCAGTGGTGTTGGAGATTTTCTTAAAGCTGATAAAATTGTGAACGAAGAAAAATAACATCGGATTTTGATCCAACATGTAATACCTTCTGAAAAGTGTCCGATTGGCAACAGCTTCATTTTTCAGCATGACAACGATCACAAACACATTGTCAGAGCAGTAAACACATAGAAAAATACATATGGACACTATCAGTCATGGATTAGCCTCCCCAGAGCCCAGACATCAACATTACTAAAGCAGTGTGAGATCATCTTTACAGAAAAATGGGTAAAAAGACAGCCAACATCGAAAGAAGAGCTTTGATTGTCTTTCAGGAAACCTGGAGAACTATTCCTGAAGACTACCTAAAGAAATGACAAGAAAACCTATCTAAGAGAGTTCAGTCTGTGTAGAAAAATAAAGGTGGTCATAGCAAAAGTTGACTTTAAAGTGTTAGACTTGTACAAACAAAAAACCCTATAGGATTTTGGACACCGATTTTACTTAGTCATGTCGTCAGAAATGCCTAGATTCCAACCAAATAAACTAACAGAGACTTGCTGCCTTTACTGTGTGTGGACAGATTATGATTACAGCCGTGTGACGCTCCCCAAAAGCCCCAGTTTGAGTATTTAGGTGTTAGTTACTTTAAAAATCAGCTGTTTTAAGTGCAGTGTCATAGTTTTGAGCTTTTAGTTTAGTAATCATTGTTTCCACCACACACTGGTGTGGTAAAATAGGAAATGCAGAACTTATGTGTCAGTGTCAGGAAACACGACACCTGTGGTTTTGTCTTTTTGTTTGTTTTCTTTAAACTAGCTGTTGTTTGTCAGGTTGTCTTTGGTTGATATTTTCAGTTAAAGCAACAGCCAGAGGAGTTATTATCCATGTGATTTTGCACTTTATTGTCACTTATCTCATTTTACTTTGATTTGATTTAGAAAGGGACAAAAATAATCAAATTTTAAAAAGAGCTACACAAGTTATACAAGTTCTAAATCAGAATCTGAATTAAGACAAGCTCATCAGACATTCTCATTCGGCCCAGTCCAGTTAATGGTGCACTGTGGTGCAGTGGTTGGGACTGTCTCCTTGCAGCAACAAAGTCCTAGGTTTTGATCTCCTAGTCAGCTTTCTGGTTGGAGGTTGCCTGCATGGTTATCTCAGGCTTTTTCCCACAATCCAAAGGCACGCATGTGATTCTGAATTGGCCGTGGATGTGAGGTAGTTAAAATCATAGTGTGAAGTGCTGCATGAATGTCTTTGACTTTGAGAGGTCAGTAAGAGTAGAAAAAAAGAAAAGCAATGCTAGTCCACTTCCATTTTCATCAAATTTTCCAGCCACCTAAATGGATATATGTAAAAGAGCCGTTCTCTCACTGTATTCACAAGTGCAGAGTGTTACATGCATTTCCTGTGTGCGTGCTGCCTGTGGGTGTGATAATGCACTTCGTCCATTTTCTCTGGTGGTACAGCAGAAACGGCTGGTTTGGGTGCAAAGAAAGAAGCTTCACTTGACTTTGTTTTGATTGTTTTTTTCCATTCAGTTTTAACTTGGCGTTTTGCACTTGTCTGTTGTGAAATCCCCCCCCGCCACCGCCTCCTGTTGCAGAGCCAGTTAAGGATTGTGAATACAAGTGTGAGTTCAGATTACAGATCTGCTCTTGCAAACATGGGTGTAGATTTCAGAGACGATGCAGGGAGTACTTACAAACTAATATTTAGAACACGTGCATTTATCTCTCGCAGTAAAATCGTGTAAAAAGCAGACGGGTTATTTAGAAAAATAATCACATTACTCAGAGGAATGCCACTGACAAGTGTGAGTGCTTTTCTAAAATGTGAATTTAAATTCAGTCAACAACATTGAAAGTTCATACAAACGCTGAATATTTCGTGGGAAAGGTAACAATCTCTGTCTCGACCACAATCACACTATTGCCAACTGGAGTGTTTAATTAAGGTTTTAGCAATTGATTTCACAGCAACAATGCGCAACAAGTTGGGGAATATATCTTTTCCCTAACAACCGGTGGTTGCCAAGTGGTCAACAACCAGTCTCGAAGCCCATGTGACTGAGGACTCACACTCACATACAACAACAAGCTCAAACTGTGCTTGTATGTGTGTTGACATAGCGGTGAAAATTTTGAGTAAGAAAAGCTGACTATACTTATTTGAATTTGACACATAATACATGTTTTTCCAGTAGAGTGCTGGATTTTTCTGTTGTCTTTGGGTTTTTTTTCCCGTATTTAAATAAAGGCATTTTTAACTTTAAGTTAATGCAGAAAAGAAAATGCACTGGGTGCTCAAAATCTCCTTCACAAAGGCCCCCAGATGCTGTACTTCCTCCCCAGTGTACGAGGGAAACCTACACGAATGCTGCTGGAAGGCAGAGAAACAGAGGAACATATTAAAGTTTCATTTTATTTGATTGAGTAATCATAGCTTAAAGGACTCTTACTCTTTTCAGCCTTACTTGTACACAGTACTTGGTGATTTGTGCACATCCCTAAGTCATGCACTGTGTTTCAAGCTGGAGGTTTATGTGGTTGCCATCTATTAATGATTACATAAATTCATTGTTTGACTGTAGGACACGAGTGTCCGTTAGAGGACACTGGTTTTGCAATTTGTTTCTTTTTGTAGTTGTTTCTTTTGCTTTCCCCATGAATCCTCTCTGTACTCTCCCATCCTCCACCTAATGTTGTTGAAGCAGCAACCTCGGCACCCCTTCGTGCCTCCTCTTTGATAAGCCCCTACAACAGTGTGCTTTCATCCCTATCATAGTTCTCTTCTGTGCCTCCTTCTTCCACTGAACATAATATGCATGCATGCGTAAATGATTTCCAGATTTGAGAACTAAAAAGTTTTAATCTAATCTTTTCCTGTAGTTTTTTCATAGACCATCTCATCTTCTTTGCCTTGTCTATTTTTGCTCACATTTACAAAATTGACTCTATTTAGAAATTAATCAAATTTTATGACTTGACCAAAGCTGGAAAAACTAGCAGTCCTGGAAACGTTCAAGCATGCTCCTAGCAGTCCTAAGAAAGAAACTCGATGCCAGCATGTGGGGATTACATAACATACCTCTCAGTGCAGCCAGCTGATGGAAATGCCCTGTGGTTCTCCTTTAGAGTGAAATTTGATGCTTCTATATTTGAGACGAAGTAAGTAGAATGAAATGCAAAGGATCTTCAGATGTAATCATATAAAAGTATTCTTCCGCATATCACTGGAAGAATATTGGCATATGCCAAAATAGTATCAAGTTATAGTTGTTCTTGCGTGCACACAGTTTAAAATCAATGTAGTGAGTGCCAACACAATCAACTGCTCATCCCACAAGAACAAATGCAGAGTCATGTAAAGGATACAGTAGGACAAAAAAAGTACATTTTCTTAAGCTGCTAGGGTAACAAGTAGAGTGAAACACCTGCCACCACACAGGTGAGACAGTTGTGAACCATTACTGTGTACTCAACTTGATTGCTTAATATGTTTCTTGGTTTAGCTGTTGA